TTTTAACTCTTAAACTTGTCCACACTGATCCTCCAATAATTTGTCAATTACCGTTCACATTTTTTTTTTCTAGTACTGGCTCCAGCAGTGATTACTGCTCTTGGGCATATGTTCTAATATGTCATGATTCTCTCTATCTACCTATATTCAGTTTTGAGAGCAGGGGCAGTACTTTTTCCTGTAACCTCAATTCTTTGAAGGATCTAAGAAGAGTTGCTGATTTTTGCTTTGTTCAGATTTTTCTTACTGTGAGGATGAGAGTAATGACTTCTAAGCTCCTTACATGCTGAATTATGACTACTTTGACACAGCAGTGGGGATCCTTAGGACTTCTGATACTAGGTCATAAAAAGTCATGAAGCTATTGATGATTTCCTTGAGATTCTCTCTGCAGGATGTCAGCCATCATGTAAAAATTTCAACTACCCTGACACTGCACATTGGAGAGGCTAGGTTATCTAGATTGATAACCCCAGCTAAGTTTGCAGCTGACAGCCACCATCAACTTGCCAACTATGAGTAAGTCATTTTGGATGTCCAGTCAAATCAACCCTTCAAAAGACTGCAGCCCAGCAATGTAAGATTACAGCTGCATAACAGACACCAAGTGAAAAGTGCCTAGTCAACCCTTTCCTGAATTCGCCACCCACCAAATCTGTGAGCAAAATTAAACCGTTTGTTTTATGCCACTATGTTTTGGGGTAATTTGTTACATAGTAGTAATATGAGAACAGACTTTTGAAATACTATTATACATGTGACAATTTATCTTCAGTGTGTCATACTCTTTTACCATGGAATTGATGAAGAGCAAATTAACTAAATGACTTCAATTTTTATGGAGTTTGTTCAAAGAAACTCTAAGTTTGGTCTAAAACTACTTACAACAACCCAATCCCTAATTAATCCCTGGGTCTCTGAATGAATGTATACCAACATGAAATAAGCCACAGAAAATATATAGCCCCTCTAAAGAGCAGTCTGCTAAATGCCCACCTCAGATGCAGCAATGGAGAACAATGAACAAGGTAGATCTTACCATACGCAGAACCAGAGACTATAAGAATTAGTTCGAACCTCACTCAGGTCAAGAAACTTGAATCAAGTATAAACCAAGCATATAGGAATAAGGGAGAAGTTTACAAGTATAGGGGCTTTCTGAGAAACGCAGTGCCTAGGATGTGTGTGTCAGATAAACCTCAAGGTTACTTAAGAGTTCTTAATAAAACAAAACAAAAAAATTGTTATAGCTATACCTTTTGAAAGACTTGACTAATTCTAGAAACTTGTCACTGAATAAGAAATGTCCCTAAAGGGTCTGTTGACTGAAATATCAAGAGTTTGTAGGTATTCAGTCATGTGACCAGAAATAACAAGTAAGACCCAGCCTAGAGAGACAATGACAATTACATTATGACTTGTTCCTGAAAGTGAATTAAGATGTCATCAATTATAAGATTCCATTGACTGTAAGACATATCTCAATCAGAGATCTGAAAATGTTTCTTAAACTTCATGAAATATTTCAATGGTTTCAGATACAGAGTTACTACCCATAATCTAATTTAAGCAACTGGTTTCTCTCACAGTCTCAAAGGGAGGGGTTGGAGAAAGACCAGTAGTACTATCCTTGTCGTTTGGCCCAATCTAACTCTGATAAATATTAATTTTCTGCCTTTCTGCTGTCTTCTGTCATTAACCACTTAGAGTAATGAATCCAGCTTTTCCATGTCTTTCCCTCTCAGCATTCAGTTGACCTAAATTTTATCTGCGTTAATCTTTTTCTTACAGAACCTTGCTTAAGGCTGCAAAATACAGCCAATACTCTCCTACCGCTTGACTTAGTATTATTGCCTTGGTAAATACATAGTCTGATTCTCAAGTAAGAGTTTAACCAAATTTAAAAATGCTCTGAAGTTTATTGTCCACTGTGAAATATCTACTGATCATTGTAGCATTAGTTTTATAAAACTATTATTATTGAATAAAAGCTCCTCTACTAGAGAAACTCTAACTGCACCATTTTATCCCTGATTATAAACGCTTGACTCTTACTTTCTTTTTTTCAGTAACTTCTTTGAAGTAATAACTTTATTTCCTAATACCCTCCAAAGATGACCAATGACTTTGTTTTGTTTGTATTATTATGAACTCATGACTTCAACCATAACATGTTTCAATCCATTGCAATTATTATTTTTGATACTCAAATTGTCCCAACTCAGTGAGACCCTCTTCAAGTTGTTCCTGAGTCCATTTAACTCAACCTCAGTAGTCTTTGATAGCTCTCTTGCTTTGCTTTCTGGTATGATAAGAAATCTTGTACATCTCTGTCAGCCATTTCTTCAAGGAGCTTTGTTTCCTTTTAGTAGAAAATGGAAGTTATAAGCCACATCCAGGCTTAGTAACAAAATGCATTTTTTAAAGTTTATTTATTTTTGAGAGAGAGGGGAGGGGAGGGGCAAAGACAGAATCCCAAGCAGGCTCTGCTCTGTCAGCACAGAGCCCAATGCAGGGCTTGACCTCATGAACCCATGAGATCATGTTCTGAGATGAAATCAGGTGCCCACCCCAACAAAATATGTTTTTACTTATTTTTTTTAAAGGTTTATTTATTTTTGAGACAGAGAGAGACAGAGCATGAAGGGGGGAGGGGCAGAGAGAGAAGGAGACACAGAATGGGAAGCAGGCTCCAGGCTCTGAGCCATCAGCCCAGAGCCTGACGCGGGGCTCGAACTCACGGACCGCAAGATCGTGACCTGAGCTGAAGTCGGACACTTAACCGACTGCGCCACCCAGGCGCCCCCAAAATATGTTTTTAAGAACAAAATAAGTTGTAAGCCCATAATGATGCTTCCAATTCAAATTTAGATCTATCTTCAGATGTTTCTAATAGACACTCAAGGTAAATAACCAGTAAGTAAGGTCTAGACTGTCTCCAAACACGGCAGTACTTTTGTCTTTTAGCATTAGGATCAACTGGGAAGCTTCTATAACCCTAATGCCCAAAAAGAAAGATCTCAAATCAATAACCTAACTTTACACCTTAAGGAACTAGAAAAGAAAAGAAAAGAAAAGAAAAGAAAAGAAAAGAAAAGAAAAG